CGACAGCGTCTCCACAAGCCGTTTGCTGGCAGCCAGCTCTTGGGTCAGCTCTTCAATCCTCCTGCGAGGGAGGGAAGGGTGGGGGACGCTCAGCATGGTCCTCTCCCCCACAGCCCTGCTTCTTCCCCTTGGAATGACCCCTCCACCTCACTGGATGCCCACAGCCCCCTGGCCCCGCACAGCAGCAGCCCCTTGGTGGTCCCCAAGGGCCAGCACAGGGCACAGGCTGGCAGCACAGAGGGAACAGGTCCTGGGCACCCACCTCTGGGCCACCGCGCTGCAGCTGTCATCACTCCTGTCCTCTTCCTTCATCCTCGCACCCCGCTCCGCCTCGGCTCGGGCCAGAGCCGTGGCCTGCTCGGCCTCACTCCGTGCCAGCCTGGCCTCCTGCACAGCAGCGGGGTGAGCCCCCAGGGACTGGGCCCCAGCCTCCCCCAGCCCCCACCGCCCCCCGGGCTCACCTCCTGCAGGAGCTGGATCTTGTTCTCCAGGAGCTCATAGACGTGCTCCGACTCCCGCTGCCGCTCCTCATACTGCTGCCGGAGCGCTGCCTGGCTGCGGGTCGTCTGGTTCTCTGCAGCCACCCTGCCAGGCACAGCACGGCATGGCATGGCGTGGCATGGCACGGCGTGGCATGGCACAGCATGGCATAGCACAGCACAGTATGGCACACCACAATGTGGGACAGCATGGTATGGCATAGCATGGTATCTCACAACATGACATGGCATGGCACTGCACGGTATGGCACAGCACACTATGGCATGGCACGGCACGTGACATGGCATAGCATGGCACAGTACAGCACAGCATGGCATGGCACAGCATGGCAGGGCTTGGCATGGTGCAGCATGGCATGGCATGGCATAGCACAGCATGGCCTCCCTTTGCAAAAGCCCCCACCCCAAACCAGCTGGGCTGGGCGAGCTGTGCCACCCCGGGTGCCCCCAGCCCAGCTCCCCCCATGCCGTGGGTGCTGTTTCTGCAGGACCCCTGGGCAAGGTGTACTGTAACCTCCCTGTGCCGCTGCCCTGAGGACACAGCTCCTCCGGAAGCACCAGGTCATGCTCAGGCTCTGAACCACCAAAGCAGCCCCTGCACACTCCCGAAAC